CATGCCTTTGCAGGCCCATGCCAACAGCACATAAGACATTTGCATCCAGTCAACCCAAACAAGCTTTTTCACAGTACAAAGGCACCATTTATTATAAATCAGTCAAGTCAAGAGTACAGAATTCAAATGTACAAAAGTGCTTATGCATAGTTTGGAACCCCACTGATGGGGGCTCTATAAACAGCAGTAACAGATCCAAGTGTGGCAACTTCTCCATCTGTATGTAAGATATTCCCATGCTGGAATGGTTATATTATTACTTCATTTGCAACCTCTGCTAAAATCAAGGCCGTCCACACAAGAAGACAAAACAGGCAGCAACTTGCTGTGAGGGGGCAACTGCATACCCAGTAAAACAGTCTCATATAAATACACAAAGGTATAGAAAAAAATCTATTTCACATAACTGCTTGCACTTGCAATCATATATTAAAAAAAAAATCTTAATTTTCTTCAGCAGCAGAAGCAGCAGATTTTTTTCTGTATTTTCAACTAGCCAGAGCACACCCTATTCTAGACAGGGTTAAAAAAAATAATCTGCCTTTGACTATCCAGATTATAACAAAATATTTATTAAAAAGAAATCACAGAATAAATAGCAATATGGATTTAATTAAATAAAATACATTTAGTTTTTTTGTGCTGACCTAAAGCTAAACCTGAAAGGGCCAAGGACTACTCTCAGACACATGCGCATCATTGACATGCATCAGAAAGACTTGGCCCCTTGCTGTTTGAAAATAACAACGCGTGTGCAAATTTTGATTAAAATGTTAACTGCTGATCTGTTCTTTGGCTGGTGGGTTTTGAAGCTTTTCCATCTCGTTTGTGGTTACGTGGAAACACAGCCCCAAATATGTCTTCATGGTATCGCTTCTGGCTCTGCAAAAATCAAGGAGAGGAAATAATATAATCTCTGTTGTTCCACCTGAGCCGAAAAACATGAACATTCACACATCCTGCAAAAGCCATTAGTTACCCAGCTTCATCAAAGCAAGTTTGGCCTCTGCCATGAATGCACAGAATTAGGGTGGAGAAAGTGGGGCCGGCTAGTGGAAATACAGGGGTGGGGTAATATTCAATATATGCATCTTGGGCATTCATGACATGTTCATTATGTATTGGAGTAATATGAATTATGCATATGCAGTACATACACTGAGAGAACAGCACATATAAGGTGTGCAGCTCATTCAGAAGGGGTTGACTAATCTGCACTCACATGCTGTTTAGATTTTTTTTTACATGATTGTTGCCCACCCTACAGCAGTCGCTTAATCAGGGCTCTGGCTTATGGTGTGCAGGACCCTTTAGCTTGAGCACTGACTATAGCAAGTAGGTGAAATCATGCCCCTGGCCCACAGCCATACCTTGAGCTGGGAGACGTATTCTTCAGCCTGCTCCTCTGTCAGCTTCAGTCTCTTAGCAAACATCTCCCTCAAGGTCTGGGCAACGTCCCTGGCCATGCGCACATCTCCACAGACATACAGATGCCCTTTGTCTTCATGAATGACTTGGTGCACTTCTGCCTCCAGCTTGCTCCGAAGAATGTCTTGAACATAGACCTTAAAAAACAAGTCAAGCAAAATCCCTTTAATATTACCTGAGGTAGGAGTTTCTCAAGGTGTGGCATAGACCTAAGGCCTGCATGTGAAAGTTTTGACATCCTCTCCAGTCAAGCTATGCTGTGTACAAGAGCAGAGGGGAAAATGGCTTTAAACCACCTTTACAGTCTTCTGGTCTTGAGGCTGGACCAGTCTCTTGCGGAAATGGTAGCCCAAAAGCTGCTCTAATTTAGGCCCCATTGTCGGCAGCTCCAAAGGAACATTTAGACCCCTGGGCTGCCTATACACGTACGTGCTCAGAGTTGGGTGGGGAGTGTTAATTAGAGCTCCAGAGAGCCGCTGTAATGAAAAGGCTCATAGTCATGTGTATTAAGCCTGCTTTGTTTCAAAATAGCCTTGGGGCACTTTAACTAAAGCTCATTTGTGATTGTGAGGCAATGCTGGAGCGTTCTAATTAGAATACTAATAAGCATGTCTATAGGCAGCCATTGGTATAGGGATACTTCAGCTCCACCTTCATGCCCTCTTGTACCAGCAGCTGAAGAGGCTGGCTTAGGTGCCAGTGACTACTGCTACTTCAGCAATCTCTCCATCTTTGAGCTTCACAGGCAGGTTGCCATTGGAAGTTTTAAATATGGACATGGCTGTTATAGTCTTTCTTAGGGTAATAAGTAGGGGTTAGATATGTATAGCTATACTCCTGTCCCCTGCAAAAGATGAAGGCCTTTCATCAGTCAAGGACAATGCACTGCAGTGAAGCACTCAGCAGTTCTGAAGGAGAGCTTTAAACAGTGCCCAATTCTTATCTCGGGAATATATTCTCCCTTCTAAAAGGCAGAGAAGCCAGTCTTACTTTTGCTTGGCCAGGCTGCCTGGAGTAAGCAGTGTAGACCTCTTTGAGTACTCCCATTCTCTTCATCTCCTGAGTTTCTTCTCTGTAGATGTGATCCGTATCTGATCGTCGGCAGCCGAACAGTAATGTCATGCCGCTGCCTTTGATTCCTGAAACCAACAATGGAAAGTTGTTTCGTCTTTTAAACTTTGTCCAATTATTTGCAATTACAATCCCGACAGACGGCCCTGTTGTCTCAGCAACTATTCATGCAATGTAAGGGCAGGAGGCTATTTTTTAATTAGCCTGTTCCACTGTGTGGAATGCATGTGTGTGATGGCTTCTGATGTGGGTGCAGTCAGAGTGTCTACAAAACATCGCAGGCAGCAGCTCTGTGTAACACCAAAGGGGCAGCAATAATCCACCAATCTGGCAGAAGCAGGTCTTTGAAAAAACCTTTGCAGCAGCAGGTGGGAGGAATCCAGTGTTTTTTATCTCTATGCTCGGGGACCCTGTGCAAGAGGTTAGGACCAAACACAGTCTAAACTTTTGGAAGCAGATGAACAGATCCCTCCTAGTGCCCCTGGTGGTTCCAGATCCCCCAATAGAGAGTAAGAGGAAGATGTCTTTCAGGTACAGTCCCTGTTGAAACTCCTCCTTGAGTGGCAAATCTCTGCACTGCTCCCTGTCAGTACTAGTGCTTCTGGGTATAACCTGCCCCTCCTCTTATGCTTGTGAACATCAATTACAACAGCAACACAGAACTGCATGTTTACGCATGCAATGCCTCTGTGGGACATCCCTCTGTACCTTTCTTTTCCAAGTCATGGAGACGCTGCTGCCAGAAGCTTCTGAATGGAGCAATTCCTGTCCCTGGGCCAATCAGAATGCATGGCGTGGATGGATCCTTCGGGAGCTGGAATCCGGCAGCACTAATATCAATTAAATGTGAGAACAGATTTGTTAGGAAGAGCATAAGATGGCATAAGTCAATTCCTATCAAGCTCCCTAGCAATTACCTCTCCCTGTTAGCCTTAACCTCTTCTCTGTGGCACAGTTACACTACTGTTAATTGGGCTGCATGGAGTGGAGAATCAGGCTCTCCATTTTTCAACATCAGCCCTGCCAGCTCGCTCTGTTGCCATCATTCCTGCTTTGCAGAAGCACCAGCAAATACTTGCTCAAAGTCACCAGGCACCATAGCTCCAGTTGCGTGTCTATCTACCAGATAATGCTGCCTTGCAAAAGGTATGGATAATACTATTATTAAAGCTTGGGCACAGCTGCTGACAGACTTCTGGCAGTGCTGCAGCAAGTCCCAAGGTAATTCCCCTTGACACTATTTAAGAAGCTTTTGATTCTTTACATGAGTGGTTCATATTTGCAAGAGCTCTCACAGAAGTTTCCCAAGTGCCTGTTGCAGATATGTATTTATATAGACTCATGCCAGAAGTTTTCCCAAATCTGCCTTGAAATCTCAGCCAGGAACAGAAATGATACTCTGTTGTTACTGAATTTCAAGTATCAACTACTCGAGGCAACACTTGCAGGAAACAATTTTGTTCCCACAAAATATTTCTTGCACATTTTTTACTGTGAACAAATCTGTAAAACCTCACTGACAATTTGCAAACAGAAAAAAGGGATAGTTTAGTGGCAGGGTTCTTTACTGCAGATTGTTCATTCAGATGAATTATTGGCCATCAGAGATAAGCCAATGAAAGGTCGACTATTTTACCAGTAAAAATGTCTTGCCTGTGGATGCTTCAATATTTGGACACCCGACTTCAGGCATGCTAAAGGAACCTGATTTTTAGACAAAGGGTCCTTATACTGTTTGCAAAGTATTAGTTGCTTGAAAAGCTTGCCTATATAATATATACACTGATAACAGCAAAGAGGCTGAAGAAATTGAAGTAACACCTACTCACCTGCGTACAAAGCATGGCACTGATTCACTGAGATTTATTGTATTCAGCCATGTACTGCAAACTCCATGATGTAAGGGACCTTGACCATCTGCAGGAGGAAGGGAAAATGCATCTATGAATAAAGCTAATTACTCTTAAAAAAAGCTGATATCTAAAATAAACCTGGTAATTTGGTATCTAATACTGATTTAAAAACCCAACATAGACTGTTAATTGTCACAACAGATTTCTGTCCTGAATTAATTATTTGTACAGAGTGATACCACAATATAAACTCCCAACTAAAATGGCCAGCTTTCTATCATATGGCCAATACATTTTACTGAATCATGGTGCCCTGGACACAGCACTGAATCAGAGAATAAATGTAAGTGAATCAGAGAATATATGTAAGTGACAATTACCCTTTGTCCTGTAGTTGACCACTGCAACTGTCAGATGGACCTCTCTGGGTGACATGTCTTGTGAGGAGCTGATGGAGTAGTACCTGGGCTTCAGCAAAGGCAACTGAGTCAGCAAGAAAGGTGTTGAGACCTTAATGGAAGGGAATTCCTTCAGGACCTCCAGGATGGTGGGACTGTTGAAAAACTTCCAGTCGTTGTACTTCTCTAAGCTCTGCAATTTCCAAGGGCAAACAGAAATGTTAACAGGCAGCTCAAAACCTCATGGAAATTGGGAACAGGGCATTTCAAAGGTCACATGTAAACTAAGTTTCTTGCTTTAAGTCTAACAACATATAGGTAAAATTGAGATAAAAGGAAACACTAAAGCTTCCATCACAGAAGTGTGGGGAAGCTGCCGAGGTACAGAGTCTTCAAAGCAGAGAAGCCTTCTATGGTAAATCTAGTTTTAATACTCACATGACATAAGACTTCCAGTCTCTGTTTGTCTCCTTCCTCTGTTGCCAGCTGGGAGAGCTTTTTTAGCAGCTGCTGTGAGGGTGGGGTGGTGATATCCAGGAAGTATGTCAAGGCTTCTGAGAGTGTGCAGGGTGGAATTTTCTTGTCACTTGTCCAGTAGCCACCTGGAAATTTGGAAAATATAAGAAACATTTGAGAATGTTTCCCAAGGTGTATGACAGCTGTTATGTTTTGAATAGTTCAGTTTTGTTTAAAGTAGGCTGACCCTTCTTAACCAGCCAACCTGCCTGCAGAGCTAGACACAGGACCCCAGTGAGAGGGGTAGCAGCTAAGAAAATAAATCCAGCAAAGCATAATATTGTACTTGATCAACAGCAAAACCCTTAAGTCTCCCTACAGGCAAAAAGAAATTTGCTTGTAAAGGAGCTATGCTGAATTTCACCAGCAAAGGATCTGACCCTTTTTAAATATGCATTGGACCACAGGAGATGAGAAAACATCCCGTTTAAACAAAGAGAACTGTTCAAACAACCATTTATCTGTGCAACCAGGCTATGGTTTAGCAGGCTTCTCCTCCTAAGCAGAGGAAATATCCTATTTTAGAAGACTGCTTAGAATGTCCCAAATTGCAATGAATACCCTCTATCATAACTTAGTCACAGTCAGTAGCCAGGTTCTGATCTCAGAGAAATGTTAATTCAGAAATATTCCATTGACTACTGAGGATTTTCATCAGTTTGATCTAGATCAGGCTCTAGTACTAGTAAAGCAAGTAAAACAAAGAGTCTATAAAGTAAAAACCTTGGGAGCTCCCATTTCTTACCTAAAGACTGGTGGATATGAAGGCAATAGAAAAGCCAGTGACTACATATCTTGACATAATACATGTCAATAATCAATTTAAAATTAAAAAAATATTAAACTGGATCATGGAAAAGTTCATAAAACATTTGCTGTCCCTCCATCAAGTCTAACTTACCATCATTGTAGGTTTCCAGTCGGACAGTCTGATCAGCTGGGGGTGCATCTTTAAGAAGCTCAGTGATGTCCTGAACTAATTCTGGCTGGTTGCCTGGGAAAATCCCAACGTGATCTCCGGGCAGGTACTGCATTTCCTGATTAGACTCACAGGAAAGCTTAACAAGGATGGTAACACGACTGTATATTAAAAGAAGAAACCAGACAAATTTTGGTTACGTCAACAGGATTTCCCTTTGACAGTGCAAAAAGGTATAAATGTAAAAAGATCTTTGGCAAGGGTTTGCTTGTGTTGGCCCTACTTTCAGATTAATTTAATAATTCCTGGGTAGATACAGTATTTTACTCAGAATAAATAAGATGCTGAAGATGTGCTGATCAGCATATAATAACCTGAATCACTGTGTCATTGGCCATTGGAAATATAATCTCATTGGAGTTGAAAAGTGTGCATTAATAACCAGCCCAGGAGACTTCCTCTCAAGATAATATTATTTTTAGAACAGAGAATATGAGGGTACTAGGAAGTCTTTTATAGAGCCTGTTCCATAAGGCGGATGTTGTTCCTTAAAAATTGTTGTAATTTAGCACCTATCTGCATGAGTTTGTGTATTGTTATAGCTTAACTTGGGTTGTAGCATCATTATGAACTAAAATAATTCTTTGAAATACGTTTTCCCTTTTCTTTTCCTGAATGAAGGCAATTTTCTGAAGAAGTGAAAATTTGCATAGGATTTTGGGAACTAATAAGGCAAAGCAATCATACTGGATTTTACATTTAGCATCAAACTGATTTGTGCTATATGTTAATTCCCCTTAGTAATGGTCTGAAATTCAAATATGTTTATATCTGGCCATTTCAATTTTCTTAAATTATAGTAAAAATGTTATTAAAATATCTACAAGAATTGAGTGTCATACCTGGATTTTGAACTTTGCAGGTTCTGCCTAAATTTGAGCTTCATTGGAATCACATTCTTTGCATGTATGTCAGCAAGTCCTGTGGAAAAAGGGGATGTGGTTAATCAAAAATTGAATTACTTAAGATTTCTTCAAGGCAGTGTGGAAAGGAACTGTGCTATTCTTCTCCCCATGCTTTTTTTAGTTTCCTATAAAACATGTCATACTGCTTTCAAGCTTCTGCTCTGCTTGAAAATAGCACATGGGGTGTTTTTTAATGCTGTCCTATTGAAATGTGAGACCATGAATTATCCCACCTAAACAGATTTCTGTTTCTTCAACCACTTTAACCATCTTAGCAGAATATTAGGTTCATCCCCCGATACTGTAGCAAGGCTAATTTTGTTTTAACTGTCTATGCAAGACAAGCATATTAGATGCTAAACAGGCATGCCAAAAAAAAAAAAAAAGGAGAGAGGCAATACCTTTACTCAAGTCCAAAGCCTGGGAGTCATACACCACCCTGTAGTTCTTAGGATTCCAGGACTCATCAGCGGTATACATCTTGGGTACCTGAATGCTGTTTTTCCCACGGACATCAAAGATCTCACAGGCAGTCTAGAAAAAAATGGAAGATTACTCATGGTAAACATTTCAGTTCTTGTCATTTTTGAGTATTCATTGATAACACTGCTTTGCATTTAATTACTACTACTACTACTGCTAATGATATCATGTAGTACAGATGAAGCAGATTTTGATCTCACTTATTCCTAATAACTATTGGGAATATCTTGTTGATTTCTGTAGCTTTACTGATTCTAACAAGGTTATTTCCAAATCAGAAGAAATGAGATCCTGGATCTAGTTAGAAACATTTTTAGGATGAATTCTATCACCCTTGCTTGCTTTGTGTACCTTACTACACAAGAAGCTCCAAGTCAATGGACTCGGCATCAGTGCAGCAAAACTGAACTGAATCCTGCCTCAGTTTTGGGAGACCCTTATTCCAAATCAAGATCCAAATGATAACTTTTCAAATGGCTCCTTCCTTTAAAATGGACTGAAGCAAAACCCTGGATCTCCAGTGACCCTCTCCCCTCCCATACCTGAAGGTATTGGAAATCCAGATCTTAAGCAAACAGACTGATTGTATTAACAATGATATCAAATGATATTTTTGTTTTAAATGGGGGGTTTTTCAACTTCCTTTTTGCAGGCTGTTTCACCAATGAAAACCTAGGAAAAAATTAATGTAGCAGGTCCATGGATTGCTGCAGCAATAGTTACCTTGAATGCATTCACTGCCCAGGCACGAAAGGCTTCTTCCTGCCCATTGAGTTCATCCCCTTCACCTGTTGCGGTGATCTGAGAGGCACCTAGCTGTGTGAGTTTTTGGTCAATGGCATGAGCGAAGGCACAGAACTCTGGATACATGGTTGATCCCAGGCCAAATACAGCATATCTATGCAGAGAGATGTAGATGAGTCTCAGGAAAGCAATGTTCACAGTTCTCATTGAACTGCGTGTTAAATTAAAGTAATAGGGACAATCAAAGGCACATTAAATAACAAAGTATTACCTGAGTTTTTTGTTCAGCTTTTTCATAGCGAACAGGGAATCCTTCAGTTTCTGTAAAAAAAGATGAATAAAATGTTTCATGTCGCATAAATATCCATAGATGATATAAAATTAAAGTCTGTTCTAAGTCCATTGGAATCAACATAAGGATTCCGGTTGGATCTTGGATCAAAGACCTCCTACAGTCTTCGCCTTGAAATCTTACCTTTCCATTGCCAGGTGAATCTCCATTTCCAAAAGTGCTGGTCACCACCAGAAGGAGATTTTCTTTCTCCAGGTCACTGATCTTATAGTCATCCATACAAAGAATCTGGAAGAGAATGAGTTCATAGGACATAAATATGGGCTGGCTGTAATCGCTAAGAAGCTTTCAGGTCACTGTTGATTAAAACTGGGAGACAGTGTGGGTTAGCTTCTCCACTTCCCCCCCCCACCATCTATCTTGTCTAGGTAGATGGTAAGTTCTCAGGGCAGGGACTCTTTCTCTTTATGTTTGACCATGTGAAGCATCTAGAAATATAAGGCCCCAATCTCAGCTGGGGACTTTAATAAGCAAAACAACAAATCTTCACTATGGCCTTCAGACCCATCAGCAATGACTGATATTTTGTCTTTCCCAAACAAATGACCCATCATTTGACATTAAATGAGAAGCCTTGCCAAGTTAGAGTAGTTTGAAGGCATAAAACCATTTATGCCTTCTGCCGGAGGCAGAAGCAGATGCAATAAAAGTGTTTCCTACGGAAACAATGGTCTGCAAATCAAAAAGAAAATAGGTTGCAAGGCATAAAAAAAAATACACACTCTGGGTCAAATCTTTGGTCAACCAAAGCTTCCAGTGAATCTTTGCAAAATGCAACCTCTTGCAGATACTGATAGACCTGTAGTTTCCAACTCTTGCTCTCCTAGATTTATTTCTCATTCTTTCTTTCCTACCTTCCCTCAGTAATATATTTATGGTAATGAGGTAGATTTTCTTACCCTGGTATTGAAGGCACAGTTGAATAAGTCACGCAGATTGTTGGCCAGGGTTTCAGATTTCCCTGTCTCTGTCGCATATATCACAGTTGCTTTAGACCTGGCTGCCATCGTTTTCCGCATCAGTGAAGAGGCAAAGAATGCGGCCCTGAGAAAAAGCGCATGAAGCTGGTAAATTATCTGCCGACACAGGTGAACCTGATTTTCTAAAATATAGGAAAAAGCTAAAATGGAGGAAGGCCTTTTGACTTTTCTTGGAGAATTTTTTAGAGTAATAAGTTGGAGATTTCAGACATGATTGTCACTAGACTTGAAGATGTAAATGATTCACTGGCCCCTATTGCAATAATGAGATAAATCAAACATGTGGGCCTGGAACTCCTCCAACCCGGTTTTGGAACGGAAATGTCAGCTCCTCAGAGCTTAACTTCACATGTACAAAACGTGGAATAGTAAGTATATTGGAAACTTACTTTGCAAAAACACTAAACTTTATCTCCTTTTTCTTTGGCCTGCGTGTTTCATCATGCCAGACATGAGTTTTCCAAGCATCCTCCTTGAAAAAGAAAGGTATGAGATTTTGAAACACTATAACCATGTTGCACAGATAAAAAGTGTTCTCGTGAAAAAGTCAGAATACTTTGTAATCCACATATGTGATCTACTTTGTAAGCCAGGTCCTGCCTCTATCATCTTCAGTAATGCAGGCTCAGCCTCGATAAGGGGTCTAATTGCATTTTATATCCACTTGGGGATGCAAAACGAACTAATGTATGTATCCACTAATGAATGAATGCATCACTCAGTGAATATGAGTTCACAAGTACCATGATTGGCAGTTAATGTGAAGGATATGGTTTAAACTCTGACAGCAGGCAATCTCTAGATAGGACCTCTAGTATTTTAAACTGTCTGCTAAGATCATTGCTTCAGTCACACTTACCTGGTAGTAATAGAATGGTGAAAGCACATAGTTCAGCATCTCCTGGTGAAATACTGGGGTAATGCTCCCTGATATCGGAGGCACAAGCCAAACCCAGTCTGCCGGACAACCTCCTCGAACACGGTACTCATTCTGCATGTATTTCATGAAGGACTCAGCAGCAGAGTGGTGATCCATGATGGTGACATTTTGCTTCTAAAAGAATTACACAGAGAAAGGCATCAGCTGGTGAGACCCATAGTATGGACCCGCAAAAATACTGCATTGACTATCTAAAGCATTTATAAACACTGTGTTGCTACAGACCATAAGTGCTCCCTAAGTCTTGTAAAAAAAACTTTTGCTTTTCTCCGTGTACTACTTATAAAAGGCTTTACATGTAGCTCAGCAGGCACAAACCGTGATGCTGATGCTACGTCACCATAGCAATGAGCTACCTTGCTATAGCGCACCGCTAAAAATAATCATGTGCCGCCTAAAGCAAGTACTAAACGACAGTACAGTAACAACTGGACCATGGGGGGAACGTGTAGACACACCCAGTACTCTATTATAGATGGATTTTGGCCTCTTGTGCTGCAGCTTGTTCTATAATCCTGTTTTTTGCCATGTTTTTCGCCATCAGAGGATTCACAATTCTTCACTTGGATTTTACTGCTCTAGCACAGGGAGGCCATGTTAAAAGTGCCTCCAGTTCATTTGCCCACCCATCAGTTGGTCATGGCTTGAAGAAATGACTTACTTGGAAGCTATAAAGCACAGCGATGTTAATCTCTATAACAGCTTGATCTTTCCACAGTGAAGAAAGTTTGTTTGTGTCCAGACCCATCCTTCTTCCTACTTCCTACATTTGAAAGAGAGAAAAAGGAAATGAATACACAGGAGTTCAGACTGATGATTCTGCCAAAAGCTTTTAGCATTTGGTTAAGTATTTTTCAAGCCAATACTCAGGGAAAAATTTTATGGGGTAGGGGGAAAAGCACATGTAATGTTAGAATCAATGCATTGGCTTTTGTGCTGGAGGATTCAATGCCAGCGGGATGCCTGAAGCAAAGCTTTCTGGTTCAGAGCTCTGAAGAGTGTTCAGATCTGGCAGGGGGAAGGCTGGGTTAGATGGTCTTAAAGAGGCACTGTCAGGTCAGAAAGCAGATACTGCCCTAAGTTATAATTACTTCTTTTTTGGAGGTGCCTACAAGTCCCAGTCATGGACCAGGACCCCAGGAGAACAGAACTGGCAGCCGTGCAATGGTTAAGAAAGCAGTTGGTGTAGGCAATGTCCAAGAGTTACACAAAAGCTTGACTGGGCTCAGTGGAAAAGTGGAGAAAGATTCACTGAGGGAGAATCTTCACTCCTTTGGCTGCAGTTCCAACATCCGGACCAAGATTTTGGAAGAGATGCTGTTAGGACATTGTATAAATAATGACAAAATCTGGCACAGTTTCATGATCTTGGCTGTAGCTCAGGAGAGGTCCCATAAATAAGCAGTCACGAGATGCTGTCAGGTTAGAAGTTGCTGGCTGAGGTGTGTGGGGAAGTACAGAGCACTCATTTGAACAAAGCATGCTGGCTTCCTGCTCTTGGAAATATTCATTTCTCACAGAGCACGCT